GAAAATAGCCCAACTTAGAAAAGTTACAGCTGCTAAACGGCTCAACCGATTTTGACTTATTTTACACCAATCGACGCATAATATGTGTAGCGAATCGCTACAATAGCGCAAGTCACGTGACGCGGATGCGCGCGCAGTCGGTCCGGCAACCACGCGCGGCGAGCCATTAGAGTCGTGGGTAGTAGTGTGTCGACCGCCTGCAGCTGTACATCTTGACCGGATAAGTAGTTGTAGCCTAAGATGTCTAGCTAATATATATAGGGGTTGGGGAAGGGTGTAGGTTAGGGTAAATAGTAATTAAATTATGTAATTTATTAGGTTCTCGAATGGTCGTGGTCTGGCAATTAATATCACAAATTTAGAATTCACATTTGCTAAATCTAGTTACCTTTATCACGAATTAGAATAAGTCCATATATATATTTCTCTGTTTACTATATTATAATTAGATACATTAAGAACATAAAAGCTGGCTGTGATAGGCAGCTAAGGTAATATTGTGCACTTTTGACGAGTTAGATTAATTCCTTGCAATAGAGTTGGGTTACGACAGGAAATGTGCGTGATTTGGCAGTGGTTAGAGGAAGATATATAGGGTCCAGGTATCTTCATTTACACTCATACTACTCCACATCATCACATATTGGTAGCAGAGCGTGGTTCTCCAGACCTGATTGGATGACATCGAGGAGAGTGCTTCCGAAGGTGGGGGTCTTGAGGGTCTTGAGCTTGTCAAAGACTTCTTGGGTCCAGGGTGTCTAGTTTATTTCCATTACAAAATTCAAGACTAATTCCAGACTTTTCAAGACTATGCGACGAGATTTTCTGCACTGGAAAAAAATAATATTAAAAGTGCAGTCGTCGCAACCGTTTGCCGGGGATAGCTCAGCCTACAATGGCTGGGTAAAGTTCCAGGGTCTGCGATAAGGTCAGGGAAACCACTAGGCCAAAAGCCGGGTCTAACCGGTATAGGACTGGCTCATACACGGGCACTGTGAACAAGTCAAAAACAAGTCACCACAACAAACGTGCAATAATCACTACCAGGCCTACGCCGATTCTCCACTCTCCTAGGGGGTCGTTGCTGACTACGCAACTCGGGCTTCGTCCTAACTATCCAATAGTTAAGCCCAGAGTGCCTAAAACACGGTGAGTTACACGACGACTTGCCAATAAAAACCACAACGCGTGTTATCACCAGGCGGGGTCCACTAGGCTACTATAATACAATACACAACTCTAATGCCCAAGCTAAGAATCAAACAGTTCACTCAATAATCGTACCACATAATAATATACAAGTACACTATAGGTAGAGTGACTACACCACTAGTAGCTGGTCTCAATAAATACCAAGCCAAACAAGCAAAACTAAATGGCAATTGCACCATTAAAATATTGAGCTACTTAGTAGCAGATAAATAAATATTAAATACGTTCCAAACACTAGATAAATATATTATCTGATAGCCGGTACTCCGCTATCCAAGCTACCAAGATAACGTGTTGGACTACTAAGCAAGCTGTTCAGGTTAAATTAAAATAATCAAATGAATAACCAATAACAACCCTACTACTGCTACTGCTACTACCAACTTTATGTTACTTAGCTGGGCTTCTGTTAATAGGCTAATAAAACTAGCTACTAGCCTGCTGGCCTCGTGCTTCCAACTACGCACGCTAAATCGTGCAGCCTAGGTTTGTCGGGCCTCAGAGTTATTAGTAATATAACTAACTCTAGGTACAACGCAAAATAATATCTACTACAGTCAATTAAATTATATTATTTGCGCTCTAGCACCTGCCCAGAACCGTCGGGAATATACTTTAATATTATTCCTGACTAATAAATCCTAACTACCGTCAGGCTTCGACCAGCACGGTTACCACTCTAACTCTCTAACTCTCTTAAACCAAAATATAATAACACGTCGTCCACTCACCCCAAGTGGGTCACTGTTTCACTACCCAACTTGAATGCCGACACTCACTCCTTGAGCACCAACCTCACACGACACCGATGTCACCACAGCACTCCTCTCTACGTACACCACTGGACGTCTCACTAGACACACGCTATCCTCACTCACTGGGATCCACGACTCGAATGTCAGTCCTAGGCTATCCTGAACATCTAGGATATCCCAGGCTTATCGGCACTGATAAGCCGGGTCAAAGGGCGCTCGCTAGCTTCGCAGCCGCCGCTAGCTCACCTCAACAATCGGTGCGCGGCCAAATAGCAAAAATATACCCCCCTAGGGAAAATAGCTCGTTACAACTAATTCCAGATTTTTCAAGACTAGTTTTTTCAACAATTAGAGGGTGTTGATACCAAAATGTATCGATTCTCGATTCTTGATACCGATACAAATTTTTATAGCTTAACCAAATTTTCTAAATAATACTACACCAACCCTTGTCTTTGTCATAAAGTAGTATTATGATAATGTTGTGTTTTCAAGTAAAGAAATAATGCAGCAATAAAAAACTAAATAGCAACTAGCAAATTTGTTTTCTTTTTTATCATGAAATCTTCCACGTACCGTACGTTTCATCATTGACTGCAGCGGTTACAGAAACGTGATCGTCGTCGTCCACGATCACGGCAAAATCATGAACATTTCCCGCGGCCTTGTAGACATCAATGACATCATTGTAGTCTCCCGCGGTCTCAGAAACGTCATCGTCATCGTCCGCGATCGCAGCAAAATCATGAGAAATTCCAACGGCTGTTTAGACATCACCGTCATCTCACGCGGTCACGGGAACGTTATCGTCGACGTCCGCAATCACGGCAAAATCATGAACATTTCTCGCGGCCGTGTAGACATCAATGACATTATTGTAGTCTCCCGCGGTCACGGAAACGTCATCGTAGTCGTCCGCGATCGCGACAAAATCATGAACATTTTCCGCGGCCGAGCAGATATCATCGTCGTCTCCCGCGGTCACGGAAAGGTCATCGTAGTCTCCCGCGGTCACGGAAACGTCATCGTCGTCTCCCGCGGTCACGGAAACGTCATCGTCATCTCCCGCGGTCACGGAAACGTCATCGTCATCTCCCGCGGTCACGGAAACGTCATCGTCGTCGTCCGCGATCGCGACAAAATCATGAACATTTCCCGCGGCCGTATAGACATCAATGACATCATTGTAGTCTCCCGCGGTCACGGAAACGTTATCGTAGTCGTCCGCGATCACGACAAAATCATGAACATTTCCCGCGGCCGAGCAGATATCATCGTCGTCTCCCGCGGTCACGGAAACGTCATCGTAGTCTCCCGCGGTCACGGAAACGTCATCGTCGTCGTCCGCGATCGCGACAAAATCATGAACATTTCCCGCGGCCGTATAGACATCAATGGCATCATTGTAGTCTCCCGCGGTCACGGAAACGTCATCGTCGTCCACGATCGCGACAAAATCATGAACATTTCCCGCGGCCGAGCAGATATCATCGTTGTCTCTCGCGGTCACGGAAACGTCATCGTCGTCTCCCGCGGTTTCGGAAAAGGCATCGTCGTCTCCTGCGGTCACGGAAACGTCATCGTCATCTCCCGCGGTCACGGAAACGTCATCGTCATCTCCCGCAGTCACGGAAACGTCATCGTCATCTCCCGCGATCGCGACAAAATCATGAATATTTCCCGCGGCCGAGCAGATATCATCGTCGTCTCCCGCGGTCACGGAAACGTCATCGTCATCTCCCGCAGTCACGGAAACGTCATCGTCATCTCCCGCGATCGCGACAAAATCATGAATATTTCCCGCGGCCGAGCAGATATCATCGTCGTCTCCCGCGGTCACGGAAACGTCATCGTAGTCTCCCGCGGTCACGGAAACGTCATCGTCGTCGTCCGCGATCGCGACAAAATCATGAACATTTCCCGCGGCCGTATAGACATCAATGGCATCATTGTAGTCTCCCGCGGTCACGGAAACGTCATCGTCATCCACGATCGCGACAAAATCATGAACATTTCCCGCGGCCGAGCAGATATCATCGTTGTCTCTCGCGGTCACGGAAACGTCATCGTCGTCTCCCGCGGTTTCGGAAAAGGCATCGTCGTCTCCTGCGGTCACGGAAACGTCATCGTCATCTCCCGCGGTCACGGAAACGTCATCGTCATCTCCCGCAGTCACGGAAACGTCATCGTCATCTCCCGCGATCGCGACAAAATCATGAATATTTCCCGCGGCCGAGCAGATATCATCGTCGTCTCCCGCGGTCACGGAAACGTCATCGTCATCTCCCGCAGTCACGGAAACGTCATCGTCATCTCCCGCGATCGCGACAAAATCATGAATATTTCCCGCGGCCGAGCAGATATCATCGTCGTCTCCCGCGGTCACGGAAACGTCATCGTCATCTCCCGCGGTCACGGAAACGTCATCGTCGTCGTCCGCGATCGCGGCAAAATCAACAACATTTCCCGCGGCTGTTTAAACATCACCGTCATCTCCCACGGTCACGGAAACATCGTAGTCGTCCGCGATCACGGCAAAATCATGATTGAACATTTCCCGCGGCCGTGTAGACATCATCGTCGTCTCCCGCGGTCACGGAAACGTCATCGTCACCTCCCGCGGTCACGGAAACGTCATCGTCGTCGTCCGCGATCGCGACAAAATCATGAACATTTCCCGCGGCCGAGCAGATATTATCATCATTGGCTTTCGCGGTTACGTAAACGCAAGACGACGATCGCGGCAAAATCATGAAAATTCCCGACTTTGAAATCAAATTTAAGACTAAATCCCGACTTTTTAAGACCATTTTGAAATTCAATACTAATTCCCGACTTTCCCGATTTTCCCGACTACTAGACACTCTGTGGGTCAAGTACTTCTTGAGCAGTGACTTGCTGTCGGAGTCCTTCAGCTTCTTGAAGCCGGCCTCCAACTTTTCCAAAGTTGCTGCGTCCACCATTTTTGGGCTAACTTGATTGGAACACACCACAGAACGGAATTTTGGATTGGAGCATGAGCTTGATACGCATTATTCTTCTTTGAAATGAAAGGATCTGAAATTTATTTGTGTGTATTTGTTTGCTAGGAAATGCATTATTTACGTTAAAAGATTGTTTTTTAAAATTAAATTCTCGTGTGATGCAGTTAGCGTCTTAAAATACAGAAATGGAACCGGATGAAAAATGGTATTTCACCAAAGAGCAACTGGCCAATACTCCTAGTCGAAAGTGTGGCTATGATGCAGATAGGGAACTCTCATGTAGGCAACAAGCTGCCAATTTCATTCAAGACATGGGTCAACGATTGCAAGTTACCCAGCTATGTATCAACACCGCAATTGTTTACATGCATCGGTTTTACGTATTCCACTCCTTCACGCAGTTCCACTGCAATGCTATTGCAGCAGCGGCTCTGTTCTTGGCAGCTAAGGTGGAGGAACAGCCTCGTAAACTGGAACATGTTATCAAGGTTGCTCAAATGTGTTTGCACCGGGAACTCCCTACCCTGGATACTAAGTCAGAGCATTATATGGAACAAGCTCAAGATCTAGTGATGAATGATAATGTACTTCTTCAAACTCTGGGGTTCGATGTGGCTATCGACCATCCTCACACCCACGTGGTACGCTGTTGCCATCTGGTTAAAGCTAGTAAAGATCTTGCTCAAACGTCGTACTTCATGGCTTCTAATAGCTTACATTTGACAACAATGTGCCTCCAGTACAAACCAACGGTTGTTGCTTGTTTCTGTATTCATCTTGCCTGCAAATGGTCCAACTGGGAGATCCCATTGAGTAATGAGAGCAAAAGTTGGTTTTGGTATGTATCCACATCGTGTATTTGGATCGTAGTGTCACTCAAGAACTCCTAGAGCAATTGACGGACGAATTTCTTCGTATATTTGACAAGTGTCCTTCTCGGCTGAAACGGAAAATCTCTGCCAACCAGAATATGACTGGATACCATATGGGCGTGAATGAACTGAACCAAAAGAGACCGGTGCCGCTGCCAGGAAGTGCCGGGGACAGTCAGCATGGTGTCAGCTTCCAGCAGCCAAACAGAGGACCACGCACAAATGAAGAACAGAGGAAGAAGAGTGAGTCCAATGTGATGTTACAAGCAATGGGAAGCCACAATCCCTGACCTCCTCCCCCTCAGTCCCATGCTGCTCCAAGGGAAGGAGGTGGTTATGGGTTATATCACGGAATGCCAAGCTCCAGTCAGATGAGCAGCAGTCACCAGGCTAACAACTCACAGTTTCTTTACCCACCACCGAGCACATCATTTACAGGATCGGCTCCTGGACAAAGTGCTAACGGACCCAACAGTCGCTTGCCCAGCCCTTCAGTGCCTAAACATGTTGCCCGGGGCACAGAGGCCATATTCCATCCCCCCAAACGCAGCGGTGGGGGCAGCAATGCTAGTAGTAGTAGCACCAGTCACTCTTCCACTACTCCTTCACTGTCAAGCTTCAATAGACCTATCAAAACTGAGATGCAACCTCCGGCTCCACAACCTGTCAAGAACACTCATCATGTGCCTCGTAATGGTACAAGCCATTCATCTGAGACCATGACTCAACAGCCAATTATGAGTGAGAATTACCAAATGAAACATGCGATGGATAAACATAGCTCCAGCCATCGGAAAAGTCATGCGAAAATGTACGATAACCGTCAAGTGGGAGCGAGCTGGAGTAGCAATACAGATGTTTCTAGAACTGGTCTATCAGGTTCTGTTGATCTCAACCAATTGAAACACATTAAAACATAAATTAAAACAGAAATCTTACCTCCTGTGTCTAGTTACCATATACAAATGCCAGCCCCAATCTCAATAAAACAATCTATGTCTCCTCCACCACCACCTCCGCCTCTACCCCCTCCACCCCCTCCACCACCACCTCCTCCATGCAATCCTTTGCCGATCTCAAAACCTTCGTCCATCTTCAGCCCCGACAAAATGACCCCACCTATGCTGTAACGGTCGTATTCCTCTTGGAATACGTACTGTTACTTTGGGTGACGTAGCTCAGGAATGAAACTCAGCACTCGCTTACAAAACCCAACTTTATTAATTACTCAAAACAACACAAAGAACACAAAGCTAAACTAACAATCAAAAAGGTAGAGTAGACTGGAACTGTATAAATCAGTTAGTAGCTTAACCCCCAATTTGGAAAAGACTCTAAACCCCAATTTTGAAAACCGTTTACATTGTCTTACCTGGACCCAAGGCCAAGGGCCTTGGGCTCCAGCTCCCCCAGCAGGACCCTGTCCTCCGGTGCACCACACAAACCACTCCACACAAAAACTGACCCCTTGATCAAGTGCACTGGCCTACTTAAAGCAACAGCCTTCAGTAGGTCAGCACAACAAGTTATTGTTTAACAACACTACCAGCCTACTCACACAACATTGCCAAACACTTCCTCTTTACAATATTCGACCCCTTCCATTACATCCCCCCATTTCCTCCAGACGATGTCCCCAGCGTCTCAACTACATAGATACATCCACTCAGAGAGAGCGAAAAAAAAAATTGATAACAAAAACTGATTAAAATCTTTTAAAATTGTACCTAAACAAAATTAAAATAAGGTTTAGGAGGGGAAGAACTGACCAACTGTTTGCGGACTTCCTCAGCAGTTGCGTCGATAAAGCCTCCTCGAACAGTCGTTGGTCTTCAGATGTTTGACCACAGCCATGTCTTCTGCGATGTCTCCCACTTCGGTGTCTATAGTCTGTAGTCCATCCAGCGTTCCTTGACAGCATTGATGATGAATCGACTTTGGTTGACGATGATGTTGGACTGCTTTTGCCATTGATTGAGTGTACTGCAGCCTGAAGTTCTCCTCTTCTTAAAAGCCCTTGCCCCCAGCTGCGTTTCCCCAGTTTTCATTGAATTTGACAAAGTCTCATCCTCCGATCACAATGTTGAAGATAACACATGATAACACGGCAAATCATGAAGTTCTTGTAGCCTTGTCTACAGTTGGTCAGTGGGGATGGGTAAATAGGAAGCCTACACAAACATATAACTCACAAATACAACATATAATTTATAAAAAAAACCCTAGACTTTTTAAGAAATTCTCAAACTCACATGAAGAACAAAACAAAAAACATTAAAACAAAAATTATTGAAACTAAGAGAAGTGTTTGGAATGTGTTACCTTAACAAATTTGATACGATTAAATAACAAAACCTTTAATAATTTCTGACTGATTTACTTTAGATTATTCAAATATGACCTTTTTAAAGAATTCTAAACAAATAATGAGTTTAACAGTTGTCTCTAATTTCTGGTAATTTGCAATTTAAGTCTGAAAAAATTAAATAAACAATTTGTCTCACACTAAAGTCCCTGATAATTAAAAATCTAAAAAAAACAAAATATATCTCAATAAAATATTCTTTTAATACATAATCTGTCTTGTCTTCAAAATTTGCCAGACTGTTAATTTTACTAGAGGAAACTATTGCAACATTTAAAACATTATTTCCCAATACAGTTGCCACCTTTGTGAAATATGATACAATTTATCTCTAAAATAGTATAAACAAAGAAAAAACAAAACAAAATCATCTTCCAATAAAATTAGACTTCCCCATAGCATTTTTAAAACACAAACACAATTTATCATTGTCAAAATAATAGTTTAAAATTTTCAAACTACCCCATTCAATATAGCTTACATAATTTATGTTTAAAAGTTTACCAACATTTTGGTCATTTCTCCTCATAACATTGAGTGAAATTATGTTTGCTTACATATTAAAAACAAGTTAAATTTTAGCTTCAATGTGTTATATCAAAAATACACTTAAAAACGGCGTATATAATTTTCCAATGAAAATGCATTAAAAAAAAATTGCTGGAAAAAATGATTTGGGCCCAAATCGTTACAATCAAACCCGTAAGCAAAACCAATTTCCCTTTTAAAATTTCTCCAACAATCTATCACCTGTAAAAACAAAAATTTGTTCCCAAAATAAAACATTCATGCATTGCTGATTTCCCAAAGCAAACTCTAGAGCATCAGTATTAAAAGGTAAACATTGTAACAAAACACGGTCAGCACTCAGCAAGGTCAGGTCACAGAGAGGCCATTTACACCACGCTCAGCATTCCTCAGCCTACAAACATGCTGACTACTGTCACCGCAACTTTGCTCGTGCAATACTCTGAAATATAACATATAAACACCTACTCTAATCATTAACAGTATTGACCATTCGTAAAAATCCCCATCTGAAAAAAAATATATTACTACCAAATTAAAGTTTAAACTCAAATATATTTCTAAAACAGTACACCATAATACACTATGAATAATTATCCCTTAAACTACTTCTACAAAATATAATATATTGATCCACCATTCACTGCATCTACTGCGCATAAAGAGCTGAAACAAAATAGTTTGACAACATGTGTCCGCCACATTATTCGCACAATATACACTCTAGAGTAGAAATAGCAGGTCTGCAACCACAGAATCACATCTTCGAGAAACCTGGGAACTACAAGATCCCAGATACAACATATATTTAACCAGGCAAATACACACACTTGTGCACAGCAAACAACATCTGAAACACACATTACACATGTGCACCCAGCACAGAACAAATAAAAACCTTGTGCAGCTAGCACTTAGCATACAGCACAAAAATACCTCGTGCACTCAGCATATAACAAAAATTCACCTTGTGCTCCCAGCACGTAAAAAATGAAAACCCTGTGCAGCCAGCACAACACATAATACCTCGTGCATCCAGCACGCAATGCTTAACAACCATGTGCACTTAGCACATAACGCAAAAACTCTCGTGCTTCCAAACACGATACACAATAAACTCAAAGAACACATATCAAACTCACGTGCAACCCGCACATGACGCTTAGAACACTCGTGTAACCCAACACGAACACATATCGAACTCACGTGCAACCCGCACATGACGCATAGAACACTCGTGTAACCCAACACGAACACATATCGAACTCACGTGCAACCCGCACATGACGCATAGAACACTCGTGTAACCCAACACGAACACATATCGAACTCACGTGCAACCCGCACATGACGCATAGAACACTCGTGTAACCCAACACGAACACATATCGAACTCACGTGCAACCCGCACATGACGCATAGAATACTCGTGTAACCGACACGAACACATATCAAACTCACATGCAACCGGCACATGACACATAGAACACTCGTGTAACCGAACACAAACACATATCAAACTCATGTGCAACCCACACATGACGCATAGAACACTCGTGTAACCGAACACGAACACATATCAAACTCACGTGCAACCCGCACATGACGCTTAGAACACTCATGTAACCCGCACATGACGCTTAGACTCACACAAAATAACACTGAAAAACTTCACATTTACGGCATTCCAGCCCTTCACTGCTGTCCCAAAAAACACTGAACCCCCAAATAGAACTGAATAAAAACTGCACCAAAGTGATGATTACAAATAATAAAAAAAATATATTAAAAAAAACCAAACTTTTCACATTACTAGAACCCCAAAAATTAAAGCCAATAATTTTTCTAAGAGGTACCAAGATCGAAGTTTTGTAAACCGGCGCTTCCATCACCTTGTAACGGTCGTATTCCTCTTGGAATACGTACTGTTACTTTGGGTGACGTAGCTCAGGAATGAAACTCAGCACTCGCTTACAAAACCCAACTTTATTAATTACTCAAAACAACACAAAGAACACAAAGCTAAACTAACAATCAAAAAGGTAGAGTAGACTGGAACTGTATAAATCAGTTAGTAGCTTAACCCCCAATTTGGAAAAGACTCTAAACCCCAATTTTGAAAACCGTTTACATTGTCTTACCTGGACCCAAGGCCAAGGGCCTTGGGCTCCAGCTCCCCCAGCAGGACCCTGTCCTCCGGTGCACCACACAAACCACTCCACACAAAAACTGACCCCTTGATCAAGTGCACTGGCCTACTTAAAGCAACAGCCTTCAGTAGGTCAGCACAACAAGTTATTGTTTAACAACACTACCAGCCTACTCACACAACATTGCCAAACACTTCCTCTTTACAATATTCGACCCCTTCCATTACAATGCCAAATTCTCCAAAAGATATAAA